ATTTTCTGTTTAGACAGGTGTGAATAAAGTGAGATTTCTTACATACATATAAATCCTAGCATATTGTTAGCTCTAAGAGATGTATAGTTTAATTTAAAATAGGATTATTTTAGTAATGTGAAACAGTACTTTCCCACTGTTAAATATTTTCTGACAACACAGAAAATAGCGAAAATAGTGAATATTATTGTATTAGCAATTTTTTTCCTGACTAAAGAAATCCAAGTCCAGATATTTGAAAACCTGTTTCACATATTATTTGAATATATTTGTTTCTTTATCTACTTTAATGAGCTTATAAGAATAACATGAGTAGCTTTGATTATGGTTACAACACAATTTTTCATACTGTTAAAATGAATTTAATTTTCTCTTCTAATATTAAGTAATTTTGCTTGATCATTTGAATGATAGAATCAAGGAATCACTTATCTTTGAAGGGACCTTAACAATAATCTAGTTCCAAAACTCCTGTTTTGGAAGAGAGTCCCTTCATGTTTGGATTTAAAAAAAGGTTTTACTCTGAACCAAACCTAAAGTGAAGTTCAGGGAAAAAAAAAAAAAAAAAAAAAAAAAAAAAGGAATCATTATGATGTCCTCATCATAGAAATGTTAGGATCCTGTACTTATCCTCTTAAAAGAAATAATTTTATGTAAATAAATAATAATAAAAAAAAGATAAATTACTTCTAAGTCCCGTAAAATAAATACTACATATTCTAGTTTTAAAATATACCTAAACATAGACTCCAACATATGGGCCTCTTCCTAATCTTTTTAACTTAAAGAAATATGGATGTACCATATTTTTATTCTTAACTGTGAACTGTGAACTTCCATTTTATTGAGCAAATACACTATTGCATTCCATATTATATATATATATGATGTTTGTCAAAGAAATAGTACCACCAAGACTAACACTGGAAATAACTGTCAAGCAGAACCAAGACAGTCACATCAGTCCAAACTGCAAATGAAACAATTTTTATGGTTAGAAAAGTAAGTCAGATCCATACTTCACAAAGTAGTTATTAATAAATTTATGAAACCTGAAGTACATTTTTGTTTTGCATTTTAACACTACCAGAATAGTATTTCAGTGACAAACGAGTTGTGTCGTACATTTTACATACAACTGAGGATCTTGTCCAGCAACTCAACCCTGGATCCGGCAGACTAACTGTTCAAACATAAATTTTGGTGAAGAGCTGAATGCAAGTTGTATGCTAAGAGGGAGAAGGGAATCAATCTGCCCATGAAACTGAGACACATCTTCACAGATTTTGCTCTTGGAAAATCCTTCACTGGGACAATAGAAGTATTTAAGCTTGTTCAGAGACTACAGATATGCAGTTTGATAGAACTCTGAATAGACAAGACCCATGTGCATTGGTCCCAAGGCCAATGTTACTTAGTTACAACGCACGTAAACAGTTGAAATATATCCCTTGTTGTTTATTTTCCTTAGGCTTCCAAAGGAGATTCTGAGATACACATTTAAGTAAAGTCATCCTTTTTAATTTATGTCAAAATTGTAGCTCTCTCCTAACTGGAGAGTTCAACCTGCAATACAGTACAAACAATTATCACCATTTAACCAGGGAGAAAGAAATAGTAAAGTTAAGATAAAATATTGAGACTATTATCATGAGTGTTTTCTTGAATTGTAACTGAAAACACTACAACACTCATCAACTCAGCACACTTAAACAGACATGCTTTTCAAAAGAAGTCTGACATTAATTCTCAACTGTCAATGAAATTCTGGAGCTATAATATATGGAGAAGTATGAGACTAAAGTCTGCATCCATTTCTCCTCTGGATGCAAGTGACTGAAAAGAATTTTAAGGATAACCGTATACCCACAGAATCATTTCAGATTATAAAATTGCATTCATGTTCTTCATACACAAAGCCACATGAGACTACAGGAATGCTTGTATACGGAAAGAAGTTTGTTTAATAATCAATCTGATTTGAGATCAGCACAGATTTAAAATTAAAATTTATGCTTTAATTGAGAAACTAAAAAACTAGAAACTAAAATAAGTTTACTTATTTATCACCAGACCTTCACAGTATATCATATCACTACTGTAAACTTTATTCATAAATAAAATGGATGCTGCAACTGACATTTATTTTGCAAAGTCTCAAGATTTGAATAGGTATTCTCTTCTACCATATGCATGTTTTATAAGCTCATGTTGCCATTCATGCAGTTACAAGGCCACAATTTCAATAGACAGTCAACTCCATGGCTGAGTTAACGCCTGTCTGGTACTAACTTCAGTGAAGTTCTTTAGCAGTGTATCATCTAAAACTGAATAAATACATTTTTTTTATTAACAACTGGAGAGTTGACATGCCCCAGGTATTCCTACCCTGTTGTTATCAAAGACACTGCCTTTCCCTCTACATATTTTACCATAATTATTTTAATACATTTGCCCTCACAACAAGATCCAAAAATAGAGAACACAGTTCTCTTATCTTATTAAATGTGTACAACGAACACACACTGCATCCAAATGTGAATAATATATTATGCATTCTTTGACCCTGTGAAGTAGAGGAAAGAAATAACTCCGAAAATAAAGAAATGACAGCAATGGTATGTATTATGAAAATAAAGGCCTGAGATAACCTGTATTCCAAAGGAAGCATGAATGACCTTCCTGAGAGATTATCCTCTCCACCCGAACTCCTCAAAAACAAATAAGAAGTAGGCTTATAGGCTATCATGACACTTCAAGAATGGATTTAAAGGTCTCTTTTTACTTCCAAAAATATGCAGTCATCCTTAGTTCTTACCTGCAGTTGCTTTTAAACATTTGACAATTTTTTGTTTGTTTGTTTGTTTGTTCCAATTCTAGAGTGTAAATCACTCTAGAAAATAAAAGGCAAATGCTGAAACTTATTCTGTCAAGCACAAAAATGGTACGGACGATAATAGTTCTTTTTTTTTTTTTAAACATACAATTAAAAATGGATTCAGAGGAAAGCCAATTTAAGAAAATGATAGTAGGAAATCAAAGTTTCACTAGCGTGTCAGCGTATATAAGCTTATTTAATATTTCCTTTAACTTGACATCCAGCCAGTCAGGGATGAGACCCAGAACTGAAGGAGGGAAAAAACAGCAGCTGCTGCTAGTAAATGGCAGTTAAGTTAAGGTTGGTGAGATTCCAAAATATCAGTGGGATTATCGTGGTAGAGACCCATTTCAACATACAAATGATTGGAAGAAAAAGAATTACTTCTATCTAGGTCATGATGAGACATCACTACATGCTCCAAAGAATATGATATGTATGTAAGAGCAGAACAAGACAGTGGGGTAAGACAGGGACACAGCACTAAGCCTGAAAGGAAAGGCAAGAACACATTTATATTTTATAAATCAGAAATGGTATCTGTATTCTGTATAAAAATACTCACTAAACTTTTGATTTTATCTTATGGTTATCACCCAAATTAACGATATCTACACACATATTTCAGCATAATAATCCAAAGCTCTGAACTCAGCTCCCACAAACCAACGGAAGCATATTTCAAGAGAATTCCATACGTAATAGAAAACAAGTGGTAAAGGAAATAGATGTCCCTTTGTGATCTGTTTTACACATCTGCAGACATTTACTGTTTGCATACATTAAAAAAAAAATCCTTAGGAAATTAAACTTTTTCTTAATGGGGATGTGCTAAACAAAGACTGTGACTCAAGAAGAAAACAAGTTGTGATGAATAAACATTTATCCAATCAAGCCCATCTGTTTCCAAACCAATACCGTATTACAGCACCATGTAAAAGAAACTAGTCATGATTAAAAAAAAAAAAAAACAAAAACAAAAACAAAAAACAAAAAACCAGCAAACATTAACAGGCAACTTTTGAGATATTTTACTGCAGTGAATCACTCAAACATGAGGTGGCTGAGAGTGAAATGAGTTTCAGATTTCTCCATTCTCTGAAGGGAGACCTGAGATTAACAATGGTTGTCCTTCAGAAACATATCATACAGAAAAGCAAACCCCTCAGCAACACAGACCTGGAGATTTATTTAAGATTTTCTAAATCTTAGATTTCCATTTTATGCAGACAGTAACAACAGACCACTGACACTGACATCAAATATTTGCACTGGCCTCAGTGAAATTATGCACAAGAATCATCAGAGAAATGCTTTACAAAAAAAGGGTGGAAAAGTCTCATTCAAGAAGATCCTTATAGAACTTCTTAGGCAAGAAGTATAGGATAAAGCAGCATGTGGTGCCAAGATGCTAACAACCCTCAAAATTGATTCAGGTTGAGGCAGGTCAAACTACACATTTAACTGATAGTTGAGGATATCTTCTTGTCTTCTTAGATTTTTGTCCAATTTCCTTTTCTCCGGGTAGTTTACTTCAGGTTCATGAAAGATACTGTATTATCAGGAGTGGAGAACAAAGTCTTCTCTTTAGTCAAAGCACAAAACCCAATACAAGTGCCATACCTCTGAGCTGAAGAAACCATATCATACAATTATATTTAATATCCATGTCTGCTGAGGTCACAGATAAGGAACTAAATTCACTCAAATGTTCTGGCTGCTTTCACCCACTGAAGGGGTGCTCAACAGCCTTACACCTCAGCTTACTTTTATTTTTACATTTATTTTGCACCACTGTAGTGATCAGTGAGACAGAATGTCTCAGCAAACCTGTCAGAAGGGGTTAATTATCATCACTGGGAGCTGGGCCAATACCACCAGTTTAATTTCATATAAGCCATCACACAAACATCAGATAGTAAGTACTTCTGGGAACTAACCACCTGGACTGGAGTAAAACTGGTGAGCTGGAGGTAAAAAGCTCCATGTTCTATTACTTATCCCCTGAGCTATAGAGTCCTCAGCTGGTAGTTCCATAAAGGTTCACACAGCCATTTTTTTTTTTTTTTTTTCCAATTTTTTTTTCTTTTCCAAAGGCAGCAAAAGCAGTTACAAGTTTAAAAATAATAATAACAAAAATCACACCTTCAAGAACAACTATATTTTTCTTAAAATAATTTCTCTGAAAGTAGCAGACTGTACACATTTTACAAGAATAAACAAACTTCTCTAATATTTATCCACAAATTGGGAGTCAGAGATGACTAGTGCAAATTTCTGCTGACCAGCAGCATTTATTCTACAAACTTTGGGTATCCTAAGTGTTCCATTAGAGAAAAACAGGTATCTTCAATCAGTTTAATTTCTTTCTTGGGCATGTTTCTCTTCCAGGCATGAATGCTACTTGGTGAAATTTCCCCCTCATAAGGAAGATAGAAAAGACTGGTGGAAGTGGCAAATAATATTTGGTTTAAGCTAGCAGGAGGAAGAGGAATACCAAGAAAGGCAAAAATTGTTTCAGCTGTCTTCTGAGGAAAGCTCACAATATCTTCAAACTTGACCATCAGATAATTTGTTGGCAGCAAGTCTCCATTTATTCTCAGTGCTGCTGCTGTGTTTGCTAGCCATAAATGGGACAACACAGAAACAGCATTTGAATTAGAGTTTGCAAATTCTTTTCTTAATGATTCGTATTCAAAGGCATAGCCTTCATTGATACTACACTTTCCTTTACCATTTTCCCATTTAAACATCGCAGCTAAGCTCTGTGGTACCTTTTTCAAAGAGTAAAGGCTTGGCTTATTTTTGTACAGCATTGAATATATCCATGCCCGTGGGTCTCTTACTACATATAATGCTCTCATTGATGGTCCTAGGATTTCCTGAAAGAAGGGAAGCTTTAACGTCCAGCTCCCACTACTTAAACTAAGCACAGGTCGTGCATTAGGATAATAAACAAGGTGTCTCCTCAATTCCCTAATATATTCAGCATCTTTATCTTGACTCACTCTTGCCCTACTTCTTTGCTCCGACAGAGATTCTCTCTTTTTGGATCTTTTCTTTTTGTCCTTGCTTATGGCAGAATGCTGAGTAATTTTACTTCTGCTGGCTTCATATAACTGAATGTTTTGTAAATGTAATTTTGTGTCTCGAACTAGAGACTGGAGCCACCCCTTGAGAAGATGGAAATGCCCATTCTGAACATCAGAAGCCTTCCATTCACACGGATCTACAAAAGAATCAATTTCAAATTCGCTCTCAGGAATTTCTAGATAGGCTGTAGGTATCCTCATATATAGGAAGTCACTGCTGTTAAAGAACAGCTGTTTTAAAATTTCTGCACCAGAAGCGGGAAGTGAAGTAATTATAACATCTGGAAAAACAATGGGAGTCCCTTCTAATTGTTTGGCTTTATTGCCTTCGTCGTGTTCTAGCCTTGTCAAGTCACTGCTCCATTTTGCACAGATTGGCTGAGTACACATGCTCCATACATCAACCAGTTCAATAAGCCACAGTGCAATAACCAGTATCAGGATCCAACGCAACATTTTACCGAAGGATATGTAAAACCGCCACTGAAAGGCCAGTATGACTAAACTAACACCTAAAATTAACCCTGCAATTATGTTCACTTTGAATCCAAATGGCAAAACTGCCCTATTATTTTTAATCAATTTTTCCACGGATTCAGTACCTAGACCAAACTTAGTCACTTTGTTTTCATGAACAACTTTGGCGAAACCACCAAATCCCAAGTAATCAAACCTGGCCTTTAAATTCTGATGATCAGTCACAACAGAAACAGTATTTTCGGTGCTGTTGACACTAAGTGATATCTGAAATCCAGACTTTACATTATCAATGAGTCTGCAGTTAGAAACATTGACGTATGGGCCATAGAAAAGGTAAACAATCCTTGTAAGAGTGCTTTTCATCGGAAAGGTAACATTTACAAACTGAGTCCATCGCTTTTTGAATTCAGCAGCTTGTTCTGCCTCTTGTATCCTAGCAACAGGACTACTCCCATGATGATCAAACCAAAACATCTTGTAGTGGGCATCCCACACATCCATCATAGCTCCATTGTAGTTGTTCTTAAATTTATAAGGTATATATTTAAAATCAATGTCAAGATTATGAAAAAAGGCACTGACTGAATTAACAGGAGAGTCTGCCTCCTTCTCGATGTGATCTACTACTAACAAGGTCTGAGAATTTAAAAGCAGTAAAATGCGATACACACTTTTCAATTTCATTGCTGATGTATAAGCAGACACTGCCTCCCCACTCACAAACATCATGTCCCCAGACTGGGAGGCTGTTATAATTTCCCCAGTTGAGTCTCCAACCTCATGACCAATCCACTTCAGCCACTGGGCACATTCACCAAGCTGTCCCTCCCACGGCTGATTGCACTGGCTTGTAGGAGATGGGGCAAACACCAAGACATTGTTCAGGTGGCTGAGTTTAGGTCCATAGAGAGCCTCAGATACAAACACCTGCCCATTGGGAGCAAAAGTGAAAGAGTTCTGATCAGGATGCTCATGTCCAGGATTAAAACTTCTCCATCCATCAATCCAGGCATATGGTTGAAAGTGGACGATATCATAAACAGCTCGTCCACCAAGTTTTCCAGACTTGAAGGACACAAACGTGTTTGTCTGACTGCTTGGCAATCCAGCCCCATAAGTAACAACTCCCCAGTTAGGAAACACGTGCATTTTAGCAGTGCCGTAGTCAAGAGGTGGTTGAGGAGTGATTTCAGCAGAGTACCATATAAACTCTGTGTGCAGAGTGCTCCACCGCTGTGCAGTGGATGGCACCATTGGTCCATCTTTGGGTCTGTGTTTTCTAATTTGCTGTGCCAGCCAGTTGCCAGCTCCATTCTTCAGGACAAACTTATCCAAGAAAACCAGCTGGCTCTCAGGACCATAAAACCAATTGTAATTAGAATCTGCTACACCCACAGTCCTTTGAAAGCCTGGTAATAGGGTGGCATAATAAAACCAAAAGTGCATTTTGAGCCAATTATTTTCCAAGTTGTTAATACCAAAGTGTCGCTGTGCCAGGAAAACATACTGTGTTATTGACTTAGCAGTGTAACTCCCATAAGCTACTCCCTCGTCCAGAGACCCATCTACAATGTGACTGAGCAGAAACATTGTTTTCTCCATCACATCAACAACAGCGTGTTTCCAAATATTTGCCTGAGATCCATTGTCCACACCAGTCACTAAAGCTCCAGTAAGCAAAGCGAGCATGTTGGTTGCTTGGTGATTGTGAAGAAGCTGCTTTCCCCAGGAACGAACCTTTGAGTACTCAAACATTTCCTTGCTTGCAGACCGTATCTTCTCCAGGTATTTTTGTCTTCTCACATTTTCCAGTGAATTATAGAGGAAGTCATAAGCAGTGGCAAATCCTGTTAGGGAGTGGCCAAGTGGGACTTCATCACCAGGCGCGCTCTCAACCAACCAGTTCTTGTAAGCAGCCATTCTGTCCATATACTCCACAGTAAAATCCAATGCAGCTTTATCTTCAGGGCAAAGCAAACAATAAAATGCTAGAGGTGGCAGATTGTTACCATAAACCTCATTCCACTTTGCAGCAAAATCAACATGTTTGGGTGGAGGTAGGTAGTACAATGGGTTGGATAACATAACCATCACTGCACTCCTGATGGTTCTGAATATATGTGAATGGCTTGTGTGAGCTTTCTGCCTCAACACATGGACATCTTCAGCATCGAAATACAAGCTTGGATGAAGAACTGCTTTTTTCAGCTTCTGCTCAGCACCAAGACTACCAAGTTTCTCTTTCTCATATTGATCTATATTTTCCATAAAAGTCACCCAATCAGAGTAATTGCTTACAGATTCTTCAAAAGTGAAGACAGCAAACATCATTAATGCTAGAAATAAGGTATGCCCTGTAAGCATCAGAGCCATGATCCATTAAGCAGCTCCTCTTCCCCCGGCATGCATTTCCTAACAAAACATAACATTCAGATATCAAGCTTTGATCCAGTCAGTATAAACATGAACATCTTAAGGCTTTTTTTTTTCTTAAGACAAAAGACTTAGTTTTACTGCACATTCTAACAGTTACTCAGATTACTTGTAATGTGAACTATGACACTGGAATAAAAAGTCAATGAATCTGCCAAGAAATTAAATCTCAGGTGCCTTCTGTTCACACTTTTCTCAAATACAACACCACAGCATGTATACTAAAACCAGGGAAAAAGTAAAATCTCCAAGATATGCATACAAACACAGGATGACAAGACACAAGAAGAAACTGGAATGCTATCTCTTGGTAACTTGAAAACCTCTGTTTGAAAACAGGAATCAGAGCCACACGTTTTCTGTGTTAAAGTTTTCAATCAGGTCAAATTCCACTTCTAGAACTGACCAAAAAAATAAAACAGAAAAAAAATAAAAAAAACAAAAGCAAAACAAAACAAAAAAAAAAAAAACCACTGATCACAAAAAATATATATAATTTATTCAAAACAATGTGGTGAATTTAATTATTTAAGGAATTTACAGCACTTGAAAAAGATTCAAAAATGGAAGCTACTTTCTTCAGCCCTCCCCTTATCTCAGTTTGTATACACATTCTTTATCTTTTTCTTAGGACTCGTGGGAGAGTGAGAAAAAAAAAAAAAAAA